AGAGAAAAAAGGGAAGGAAAAGGGAGAGAAGGAAAGGGAGAAAGAAAATAAGAAAGAAAGAGAGAGAGAAAGAGGGAAGGAAAGAAAGAAAGAAAGCAGGAAGGAAGGAAGGAAAGAGGTAGAGAAAGAAGAAAGGAGAAGGAAAAGAAAAAGGGGGAAGAAAGGAAAGAGGTAGAGAAGGAAGGAAGGAAAGAAAATAAGGGAAGGAAGGAAAGAGGGAGCAAAGGGAGGTGGGAAAAATGGAAAGAAAGAGGGAGAGAAGGAAAGAGAGAAGGAAGGATAGACGGAAAGAAACAGGTAGAGAAGGAAGAAAGGTGAGGAAAAAAGGGAGAGGAAGGAAGGAAGGAAAGAGTCAGAGAAGAAAGGAAGGAGAGAAAGAAAGAAAGAAAAAAGGGAAGGAAGGAAAGAGCGAGGAAAGGAAGAAGAGAAAGAAAGAAGAGAAAAAGGGAGGAAACGTTGGCCACAGCAGCACGTGGCGGGTACAGCTAGTCACAGATAAAGTGGAATCCTTGTGCTATATTTGTGAGAGGAATAGGGCTCTTGGTCAAACTGAATTGCAAAAGCAGTGAACTGCTGGAAAGCGTAAACACAGCGATTGAGAAAGAAGGAGAAAACCACATGCTCTCATTTAAATGACTAATACTAGAATTAGATGTGAGTTTTCCTCCATTCTAGGTTCACAGAACATGGTACTGGTATCTTTTTTGTGTGAAAGAATTGTACATTTTCTCCAAATATAATGGCATGCCTATAGGGATGGTCCCTGCAACATTACTAATGTAGAATCATAAATTCATAGAGTTGGAAGAAGACCTCATGGGCCATTCAGTCCAAACCCCTGCTAAGAAGCAGGAAATTGGCATTCAAAGCACTCCCGACAGATGGCCATCCAGCCTCTGTTTAAAAGCTTCCAAAAAAGGAGCCTCCACCACACTCTGGGGCAGAGAGTTCCACTGCTGAACAGCTCTCACAGTCAGGAAGTTCTTCCTAATGTTCAGGTGGAATCTCCTCTCTTGTAGTTTGAAGCCATTGCTCTGCGTCCTAGTCTCCAGGGCAGCAGGAAAAAAACTTGCTTCCTCCTCCCTATGACTTCCTCTCACATATTTATACATGACTATCATGTCTCCTCTCTGCCTTCTCTTCTTCAGGCTAAACATGCCCAGCTCTTTAAGCCGCTCCTCATAGGGCTTGTTCTCCAGACCCTTGATCATTTTAGTCGCCCTCCGCTGGACACATTCCAGCTTGTCAATAAACATATTTATGCATATATACTGTACATGTGTTTCTTGGCAAATATATTTATGCGGGTGCATGTTGTTATTTATTCGTTCAGTCGCTTCCAACTCTCTGTGACCTCCTGGACCCGCCCAGGCCAGAGCTCCCTGTCGGCCACCACCATCCCCAGCTTCTTCAAGGTCAAGTCAGTCTCTTCCAAGATACCATCCATCCATCTTTGCCCTTGGTCGCCCCCTCTTTCTTTTTCCTTCCATTTCCCCCAGCATCGTTGTCTTCTCCAAGCTTTCCTGTCTGCACAAGCACATATATGATGAGCACAAAAAGACAAGTGGAAATGACACAGTGGAAATTGTAGTCGCAAAGCGGCATCACCGAAAACACATCAAATCAGGCAGATCCTTATCTGCCGCGACCAAAATGCAGAGCCCAATTTCTCAGAATTCCAGAACTTGTCATTTCTTCCCCTTGTGGTGTTCTACTTTCCTTCACAACAGCTCCTCAGTTGACTATCTTCTCCCTCCCTCCTTCATCTATGGAATATGTATGAGAATTTTGTGAGCTATGACTTATTTTCTAGTTTTAGCCTTTAGATGCAAAGATGAAGTACTTTGACCACATAATGAGAAGACAGGAAAACTTAGGGAAGACAATGATGCTGGGAAAATTGGAAGGAAAAAGGAAGAGGGGCCGACCAAAAGCAAGATGGATGGATGGCATCCTTGAAGTGACTGGCTTGACCTTGAAGGAGCTGGGGGTGGTGACGGCCGACAAGGAGCTCTGGCGTGGGCTGGTCCATGAGGTCACAAAGAGTCAGAAGCGACAGAACGAATAAACAACAACAAAGCCTTTAGAATAGATTGCCTCCCTGTCTTTTTTTCATAAAGAAAAAGAGAAACAGAGAGATATTTTGGGTTCAAATGTAATTTTAGTTTCTGAAGTTGTCTTCCAACATCTCACAGTGGGAAAGGATAGTTTTGGGTGTGAACTTTAAAGGAGTTGTCCAAGGTGCCTACCCGCATTTCCAAAGAAGATCCAGACTCGTGCGCCAGCTGCGACCGTACCGCGTGAAGTCGGATCTGGCCAGGGTGGTCCATGCCTTAGTCACCTCCAGACTGGATTACTGTAATGCACTCTACGTGGGTCTGCCCTTGAAAATGGCCCGGAAATTTCAAATGGGACAACGGGCGGCTGCCAGGTTACTAACTGGTGCTTCTTACAGGGAGCGGTCAACCCTCATGTTTAAGGAGCTCCAATGGTCTGCCGTTCATTTTCCAGTCCCAATTCAAGGTGCAGGTTCTTACCTACAAAGCCCTGAATGGTTTGGGACCTGCCTACTTGCGTGACCGCATTTCTGTGTATGAACCCACACAATCTCTTCGATCATCTGGAGAGGCCCTGCTCACGCTCCCGCCTCCTTCACAGGTGCAATTGGTGGGGACGAGAGAGAGGGCCTTCTCGGTGGCGGCCCCTCGACTCTGGAATTCACTCCCTAAGGACATCAGAATGCACTTTAATATTGACTTAGGATTGTCTGCGCGCCCTTACCTTTCTTTGAAAACCCTATCCTAGTTTACCCTACCTTGTTTATGCCCAGCAGTTTAAATTTTAATTTTAATTATTACATTTGGCCCGGCCATAGGTTTTTAAATGCTATATGTCATTGCTATTGTTATTGTTTATTGCTTGTTGTGTATTTTTGTTTTTGAGTTTTTAATTTTAACTGTTTTGTATTGATTATTTGTTATCGCTTATTGGTGTGCTATGGGCTTGGCCTCATGTAGGCCGCACCGAGTCTCTTGGGGAGATGGTAGCAGGGTACAAATAAAGTTGTATTTATTTATCTATTATTATTATTATTATTATTATTATTATTATTATTATTATTACTAGCCGTCCCCTGCCACGCATTGCTGTGGCCCAGTCTGGTGATCTGGAAAATAAAGTAATGAGAAAGTGTTGGTTTCTAATATATGTAATTCCTTTCTGCTTGTGGGTAAACAGTAATTCTTGTTGTTTCTTTGTCAGTGTTGATGTGGAAAGTGTCTGGTTTGCCTATTCTGTAATATGCCACATATCATAGTCCTTCTTTAGTTGTCCCTTTCAAATCTATGATACTATATCTCTCTGTGTGGAATGATATCTATCTATCTATATTTATGGCTGGATGGCTCTTTGTTAGGAGGGCCTTGATGACGTTTTCTTGTCCTGGTGAGAGTTGGACTGGATGGCCTTAAGTATTTTCTGTTGGTCATAGGGTTTCTGTGTGGGAAATTTGCCCCAATTCAGTCGTTTGTGGAGTTCGGAATGCTCTTTAATTGTAGGCGAACTATAAATCCCAGTAACTACAAATCCCAATTGTCAAGGTCTATTTCCCCCAAACTCCATCTGTGTTCATATTTGGCCATATGGAATATTTGTGCCAAGTTTGGTCCAGATCCATCATTGTTTGAGTCCACAGTGCTCTCTGGATGTAGATGAACTACAACTCCCAAACTCAAGGTCAATGGCCACCAAACCCTTCTTGTGTTTTCTGTTGGTCATGGGAGTCCTTTATGCCACATTTTGTTCAATTACATAAATGATAGAGTTCAGAATGCTCTGATTGTAGGCGAACTATAAATCCTAGCAACTACAACTCCCAAATGACAAAATCCATATTTTTTTTTGAGTGGACATACATTGGGTTGTATGCTGTCCAAATTTGGTGCCAATTCGTTCAGTGGTTTTTGAGTTATGTTAATCCCACAAACGAACATAGTGTCTAGGAGCATAGTGTCTAGATCTAGGGAAGTCATGCTACCCCTCTATTCTGCTTTGGTTAGACCACACCTGGAATATTGTGTCCAATTCTGGGCACCACAATTCAAGAGAGATATTGACAAGCTGGAATGTGTCCAGAGGAGAGCGACTAAAATGATAAAAGGTCTGGAGAACAAGCCCTATGAGGAGCGGCTAAACGAGCTGGACATGTTTAGCCTGAAGAAGAGAAGGCTGAGAGGGGATATGATAGCCATGTATAAATATGTGAGAGGAAGCCACAGAGCGGAGGGAGCAAGCTTGTTTTCTGCTTCCCTGGAGACTAGGACATGGAACAATGGCTTCAAACTACAAGAGAGGAGATTCCATCTGAACATGAGGAAGAACTTCCTGACTGTGAGAGCTGTTCAGCAGTGGAACTCTCTGCCCCGGAGTGTGGTGGAGGCTCCTTCTTTGGAAGCTTTTAAACAGAGGCTGGATGGCCATCTGTCAGGGGTGATTTGAATGCAATATTCCTGCTTCTTGGCAGGGGGGTTGGACTGGATGGCCCATGAGGTCTCTTCCAACTCTTGGATTCTATGAACATTACATTTTTTATTGATATAGATTATTATTATTATTATTATTATTATTATTATTATTATTATTATTATGGTTGAGAAACACTTCTCTAAGGGTTTTCTGGGGCTACAAATGTGTGGGTAACATTTGCATTTTTCCCCCAAAAGAGAGGTGGGTTAATTTTTCCGGCGTTCTAAAAATAACGATGATTCATCCATCTTTGGAAAGAACTGGTCTCCAAAGTTTTAAAAAGGGGAACTCCTCGGAGGTGCAGTCGTACCACAGTCCTCCCATTCTCTGCAAGTGGAACAAGCTGGTGGCATGCGGAACAGGAAGTCTCCCAGCAAGAACAGCTGTGGCAGTGGTTTTGCAGAAATCTGCTGAGCGGATAGCAACGAACCCCATTTGGAGTTACCTGCTTATTTGTATACAGAAGCAGGTACAAGTGGTGGACGCCCACAAGCCTCATCTCGGTGGAACCCTCTCCTTCTCTTGTTTACGTCTGCAACTGACTCATCTTTTGACCCATATCTTGCATCCTTGTATTTCCTATTTCTTCTCCTTCTCCTCCTCCTTCTTCATGCAACAAGTGATGAAGCTATTTTTTTCCAGATCCCATGAGTCAAGATGTGGGTGAACTCACTCAAGAGCACAGATTCAAGACCAAAGTTGATCAGAAGAAGATGCAGAGTGACACACTGAGGATTTGATAAAGCGATGAACTCTCAGCCAGAGAGGACATCTTTCTGCAGAGTGGACTCTCTCCAGGAAGTGGCCAAAGATATGACAGAACATAGTGTCACCAGGCAGTTCAGTCCCACCATCCAAGGATATCTCTGTTTTGCCACAGTTTCTCTCGCTTTGTGTCTTCTTGCAACTTTGGGGATAATTGTGGTCTTGGTGCTCCAACGGACGGTAAGTCACTTCCGATTCATGTCTCCATGTTGTCCAGAGAAATGCTGTTTATTTTGGGTTGCTCTGAGTTTTTGGGGCTGTTTGGCCATGTTCCAGAAGCATTCTCTCCTGACATTTTGCCCACATCTATGGCAGGCATCCTCAGAGGTTGTGAGGTCTGTTGGAACTAGGAAAAAGGGTTTATATATCTGTGGAATAATGTCCAGGGTGGGAGAAAAAACTCATGTCTGTTGGAGGCAGGTGTGGATTTCAATGTCTTCTCTTTGTAGGTTTTAAATCTTGTTTATATGTGATTTATACTAATTGTATTGTTTTTGTTTATTGTTTTCTTGTTTTATTGATGTGTTGTTGGGCTTGGCCTCATCTAAGCCACTCCGAGTCCCTTGGGGAGATGGTGCCGGGGTATAAATAGAGTAAATAAATAAATAGGAGCCCCCGGTGGCACAGTGGGTTAAAGCACTGTGCCGGCAGGACTGAAGACCGACAGGTTGCAGGTTCAAATCCGGGGAGAGGCGGATGAGCTCCCTCTATTATTATTATTATTATTATTATTATTATTATTATTAAACTTTATTTGTACCCCGCTAGCATCTCCCGAAGGACTCGATGCGGCTTACACAGGCCGAGGCCATTAACACACAACATAACAATACAATCTAAGCAAATCAAACCATTAAAAACAGAATAAAGCAAAATGAACAACAGGCAATAAACAATACACTAAAACACAATAAAACTGGGCCGGGCCGGAGTAATGGGCACAAGAATTAAAAGTGCTGATGTGACAGGAGGTGTATATGAGGTTTCTAGGGCAAGTGCGATGTGCGATGTGCGGTAATCATTGGTTCTAGTAAAGTGCTTATGGGACTTGGTAGTGGAGATTTCCTAATCTGGGAAGGCGCATCGGAAAAGCCAGGTCTTCAAGTTCTTTCTGAAGACTGCCAATGTAGGGGCCTGTCTAAGATCTTTGGGGAGGGTGTTCCAGAGTCGGGGGGCCACCACGGAAAAGGCCCTGTCCCGCGTCCCTACCAAGCGCGCTTGCGACGCAGGTGGGATCACGAGCAGGGCCCCTCTGGATGACCGAAGTGAACGTGTGGGTTCATAGATGGAAATGCGGTCACGCAGGTAGGCTGGTCCCAAACTGTTCAGGGCTTTGTAGGTAAGTACCTGCACCTTAAATTGGGCTCGGAATCTAAACGGCAGCCAGTGGAGCTCCTTGAACAGGAGGGTTGACCTCTCTCTGTAAGGGGCCCCAGTTAGCATCCTGGCTGCTGTTTGTTGGACCAGTTGGAACTTCCGAGCCGTCTTCAAGGGCAGCCCCACGTAGAGCGCATTGCAGTAGTCCAATCTGGAGGTGACCAGATTAGCTCCAGCTCCTCATGCGGGGACACGAGAGAAGCCTCCCACAAGGATGATAGAACATCAAAAATCATCCAGGCGTCCCCTGGGCAACGTCCTTGCAGACGGCCAATTCTCTCACAACAGGAGCGGTTGCTCCTGATACGACAAAAAATAAATAAATAAATAAATAAATAAAGTATTATTATTATTATTATTATGGCGGTTGTCCAAGACGTCCAGCACTTCTGTGTCCTCAAATAATATCTTGTGTTCAGGTTGGTTCATCACGTGCTCTGCTATGACTGACTTCAACACTCAAAGACAAGGGAAATTCCAGACGAGAAAAATCAGGGCCAGCTAATCACCTCCGAACAAAAGATTACCCCAGTCAGTAAGAAGCCAGACCTTGAAACTACATGGCCATTAAATGCTAATCAAGGTGGCCAATTGAAACATTCACACCTATCTTGAACAGACAAGAGTTTTTTCTCCCACTCTTGACATTCCACAGATATATAAACCTCTTGCCTAGTTTCCAACAGACTTCACAACCTCTGAGGATTCCTGCCATAGATGTCGGTGAAACATCAGGAGAGAATGCTTCTGGAACATGGCCACACAGCCCAGAAAACTCACAGCAACCCAGTGATTCTGACCATGAAAGCCTTCGACAAAATGCTATTTATTTTGTTTTTGTTACTCTAAATTCAGCTCAATTGTGCAATCGAAGATCTGGACGTTATTGAATCTCATGCCCTATTTATTTATGTCAGAAATGAATTGAGAATACGGTTATAATGAATACAAAAACCACAAACAAAGTTAAAAGCTTGGCATTGTACTAAAAGTCCTTTGACCAGAAGCTGGCCCCTTGGAGTGCCTCTGGGGTCACTGTGAGATGGTCCTCCTTTGTGCATGTGGCAGGACTCAGACTGCATTGTAGTAGGTGGTCTGTGGTTTGATCTTCTCCACACTCGCATGTCATAGACTCCACTGCATTTTAGGTGGATTAGGAGAGATTCTGTTGAGATACTGATAAGTGACATGCAAGATTTTGGAAGAAAGCAGCCTTCTGAGTCAGACCAAAACATTCATGTGAACTTGGCACTTGATAGTTTCCATGTTGATGAACCCACTCTGGATTTTAAACCAAACTAGTAAGGAGCTATCCAAGGTACCAGACCTGTCTGGGGGTATCATATTCAGAACACTTCCTTCCCCCTTTTTCTTTCTCTTCTGCTGTCTCTTTTTTTTTCCTTCTCTCTTTCCTTCTTTCCTTCCCTCCCTCTAACTTTCCTTCCTTCCCCCTTTTTCTTTCCCTCCCTCTTTCTCTCCTTTCTTCCTTCTCTATCTCTTTCCTTCCTTCCTTCTCTCTTTGCTTCCATGCTTCCTTCTCCCTTTCCTTCCTTCTTTCTTTCTTTCTTTCTTTCTTTCTTTCTTTCTTTCTTTCTTTCTTTCTTTTTCTCTCCCCTTTCCTCCCTCTTTCCTCCCTTTTTACTGTATTGTCATTTAGCTTTCCGTCATTTAGCTTTTGGGGGCTTTTTAAGTCCCTTCTGCTGTGTTTTTCAGTGTTTTTATGAGTGAAGGACGTACATTGGGTTGTTAGGTGTCTTGTGTCCAAATTTGGTGTCAATTCCCCCAGAGGTTTTTGAGTTCTGTTAATCCCACAAACGAACATTACATTTTTATTTATATAGATTGCAATATCTTTGTATTGTCAAAGGCTTTCATGGCCAGAATCACTGGGTTGTTGTAGGTTTTTTCGGGCTATATGGCCATGGTCTAGAGGCACTCTCTCCTGACATTTCGCCTGCATCTATGGCAAACATCCTCAGAGGTAGCGAGGTCTTGAGAGATTTTGAGAGCCGTTCAGCAGTGGAAGTCTCTGCCCCAGAGTGTGGTGGAGGCTCCTTCTTTGGAAGCTTTTAAACAGAGGCTGGATGGCCATCTGTCAGGGGTGATTTGAATGCAATATTCCTGCTTCTTGGCAGGGGGTTGGACTGGATGGCCCATGAGGTCTCTTCCAACTCTTTGATTCTATGATTCTATGATTCTGTTGGAACTAGGAAAAAGGGTTTATATATCTGTGGAATGACCAGGGTGAGACAAAGGACTCTTGTCTGCTGGAGCTAGGTGTGAATGTTTCAACTGACCACCTTGATTAGCATGGCCTGACAGTGCCTAGAGGAAACTTTTGTTGAGAGGTGATTAGATGTCCTTGTTTGTTTCCTCTTTGTTGTTGTGCTGTTGTAATTTTAGAGTTTTTTAATACTGGTAGCCAGATTTTGTTCATTTTCATGGTTTCCTCCTTTCTGTTGAAATTGTCCACATGCTTGTGTATTTCAATGGCTTCTCTGTGTAGTCTGACATGGTGGTTGTGAGAGTGGTCCAGCATTATCTTTACTTCTCAACAAATAGTTGTTTCATTATACTTTGGCATTGCAAGGGGCAGTGTGTCTCACTTTAAATTTTAGCATTAAGAAAACACTGTCTTCCTTAGTTGGGAACGCAATATACCGAAACATCTGCTTTTCATTTCCTTGCACGTCTGTTGCAATCATGTTAAAATAAATGGCATATGTTATCTGTTATGTTACTCTCATCAGGAGGCATTCTAGCAATGTCTGAGGGGCATTAATGCATATCATTTTCTTGTAAACATGATTTTTTAAAATGCAAAACAAGCTATCAGAATGAAAATACCCTTTCTTTTCTGTCTTGGAAGATGTCGCTCTTCTAGTCATCATAATATCATTCACACCTGAAATTGCAAAATCAAAAGAGCCCTTGGTCAGTTTCAAATCTGCAACTGCAGATTTAATATTTTGCTGCCTGTGTGATAAGTTGCATTGAAAAAATCTGGAGTTGACTTTGAAGTATTAGACATTGTCTGGGCTATTTGGAGTCAAAATAGGAATGAAAGGAAATGGCTGGAATTCTGGAGATTGCATTGTTGTCATTGTAACTTCTTCAGTTGTTTCTGATTTATAATAATCCTAAAGGAAATGCAGCATGGATCCTTTTGGGTGAGGTTTCTGTGACACTGAGACAGTATGACTTTTTCAAGGTGACCCAGTGTTTTCCATGGCTGAGGGAGAATTTGAACCCTGGTTTCTCAGTATGCTGGTACCATTACACCATGTTGGTTTTCATGGTAGCAGCTGTCCGGTTATGTTGTGTAGGGTTGTGTATTCAGGGTCAACCTTGACCCGTTTGATGTCCAAACTTGACTGTTTATTTGCAACTTTGATTAACTGTGCCAAGTCTTCAAGGACTTTGAATTAAATATCCCTTTTTTTGATGTTTAAAACCAGTAATAGTTGCTGAGTATCTCAAGCTTCTCAAGATAGACACTTGCAGTTTGCTCAGGCATAGAGAGAAGCACGTCGCAGTTTTATTTTTTATATCGTCTGGGTGGACGGCATACAAGTGTCTATGGCTGTGAGTTGTATTGGCGAATAATGCATGCAGATCCCAGTAGAGTGGCCTTTTGCAGTTGAGAGATGATAATCTTGTCAGCGCCGATTGTGTTTAAGTGTGCTGATCACCACTGGGATCGCCTTTACTGTACTTTGCACCCAGAGTCCTGTTGTATTTTGTTGATCTGCTCCCCTCCTCTTCCTATGATGAGTCCCACCATGCCATCAGGTACTCTGTACTCTTCAGTCACTGTAGACCTAGGAAGAGGATGGATCGGTCCAAGCTGAGGCGGCGGTGGCATAGGTTCTGGCTGAGGGGCCATCTTCTTGCTTTCTGGCTGGTCTCCATCCTCTAGTTGTCGCTTTTGACCACCAAACCCAAAGTCAGGGGTAGTGTTGTTCACTGTTGTGGTGGAGTCTCCCCCAATTTTAGCAGCTATCTGCCAGGCCTGCTGGACCGCATCGGCGAAGGCGTCCTTGCGGATCCCACCTGGTCCCGGGCCGGCTGCTCCTTCGGCCTGTCCGCCTCCCCCGCCACCTCCTCCACCTTCTCCTCCACCACCGCTGCCGCCTTGGTTGGGAGGCCCCGCAGGCCTGGCTCCACCACCTGCTCCCATGCCCGGCGGCCCAGCAGATGGTGGTGGGGGCCCGGCGGTGCTATAGTCCGACATGGCGGCAGAGACGAAGGCTCAATGCGGGAAGCAAGGCCTCAAGCGCGCGCGCGCTCCTTCGCTCGCTTCCCCCCCCCCACTCACTCACTTTACTGGCTTGTGCCAGAGTTGTCATCGTATTATTATTATTATTATTATTATTATTATTATTATTATTATTATTAGGAAGAGCTGTTTGGCATTGAAATATATTGCCTCGGAGTCTGGTGGAGTCTCCTTCTCTGGAGGTTTTTGAACAGAGCCTGGATTGTGTGTTCCTACTTATCTGGATGGCCCTTGTGGTCTCTACCAACTCTAGGATTCTGATTCTTTTATAAATTCACCATTCACTTCTCATGTATAGAACTGCCAAGCTAGCAGTTCAAAAACATGCAAATGTGAGTAGATAAATAGCTACCACTTTGGTAGGAAAAGACATAAGACGCTCCAAGCAGTCATGCTGGTCACACAACAAGAAGGTGACAACACAGACTCCTTGGCTTGGAAATGGAGAACAGCACCTCCCCAGAGCGAGAGATGAGCACCAACTCCAAAAAGCCAGAAACGAAAGGAGAAGCCTTTGCTTTTGTGTATCTCATTGTATTGTAACAAGGAACTGAATCTTTGTCCGGTATCTGTTTTCCCTGTAATCCTCTCCTAGTCCCCACAGGGAGAAGGGCAGAATAAAAATAAAGCGTTGTTGTTGTTGTTACTATTATTATCATCTCTCTTTTTCTCTTAAAGGGATCGACAGCCCAGTGTGAGGGACATCCAAGAGCAGAAATGCAAGGTAAGATTGGGACTGGGCCCAAGAAAAATTAGTGTTTTTCACATAGAAGGATTAATCCCTGGGTGTTAGTTGTTCTGGTACAGCTGTACCAGGAGCTGCAATTTTGTTTGCTTTACATTAAATGTTTGTTTGCAGTCCTAAGTTTCAGGGACTCTGCAGATAGGTGGCTTCTTTTGGTTGCAGTTATAGGGCAAGCCACCTGTTCATCATCATTAAGTTTGGTCCCGCCCCTTGCTCAGGGCAATTGGGAAGGAAAGGGAGTCATTTTTTTAGTTAGTCTCAGCTAGGTTAGCCAATGTACAAAGCTTCCCCTGTACAAAAGCTTCAACCTTTAAGAATTCCCAGGGGAGAACAGCTTTAAGAGTCTCCTAAGAATCTCCAGGGAAAGAATTTCCAGGGTTAGAGAAATTCCAACAGAAACAGAAGGAAAAGAGTCTCCAAAGACTTTCCAGGGAAACAGCCCTAAAGATCAAAGAACTCCAGCTGAAGAGACTACAGGCCTTGCTGGTAGGTCCACTCGGTGCTTTGAGATGCAGTTCAACCCGGTAGTGGTGCCCACATCAGTTAGGTTTAAGTTTACAGTCAGCCTGGGAGAAGTTAAAAAGGGGGTTTTCCTTTAAAGAAGAGGTTATTAAAGATAGTTGCCTGCCCTTCATGGGCAAGTTTAGGAATTCACCAGTTACCTAAAAGCTTGGAATCATTTGCTTAACTTTACTGAAGACACAAGATAAGTTTCTGTTTGATTGTTCATTATTAAAGGACTTCGTTGTACTTCACAAGCCATCTAAAGACTATTTGTGGTGAAAACCCTCTGAGAACTTCTCTTTGGGCCCCTTGGCTTCCCGTTGGGCAAAGATTGCACGTCCTGTTTTAAAAACAACTGTTTACAGGCCCAACATGCGACAGAACATTAGTAATTGTTTTGTTAAATGAGTAAATCATTTTGTATCATTTTTACCAAGAACGTTTTTTTCTCCTAAATTCAAAAATTTATTTAAGGATGCCAATGTGAATGAAAGCAAACACAATTGCGTAAGAATTATCCAGTACACATCAGAGATGCCTGACATTCCCAAATACGTACATGAAGTGCTTGATGATGCCCTGTGCAGCTCCTTTGCCAGTACTAGATGTGTATGTTAACTAATCATGAATTGAGTTTGTTGCATTTCTGCAACATCTATATAAATAAAAATGTAATGTTTGTTTGTGGGATTAACATAACTCACAAACCCCTGGATGAATTGCTGCCAAATTTGGCCGCAAGACACCTACAACCCCAAGGAGTGACCATCACTAAAAAAATGATTTTTGTCATTAGGGACTTGTAGTTGCTGGGATTTATAGTTCACCTACAGTTGAAGAGCATTCTGAACTCCATCAATGATGGAATTGAACCAAACTTGGCACACAGGACTCCCACGACCAACAGAAAATACTTTGTGGGCATTGACCTTGACATTTGGGAGTTATAGTTGCTGGGATTTGTAGTTCATCTACAATCAAGGAGCATTCTGAACCCCACCAATGATGGAATTCAACCAAATCTGGCACACAGGACTCCCATGACAAACAGAAAACACTAGAAGGATTTGGTGGACATTGACCTTGAGTTTGGGAGTTGTAGTTCACCTACATCCAGAGAGAACTGTAGACTCAAACAATGATGGATCTGGACCACACTTGTCACGAATATTCCATATACCCAAATATGAACACAGATGGAGTTTGGGGGAAATTGACCTTGATATTTGGGAATTGTAGTTACTGGGATTTATAGTTCACCTACAATCAAAGAGCATGCTGAACCCCACCAACGACAGAATTGGGCCAAACTTCCCACACAGAACCCCCCATGACCAACTTAAGGCCATCCAATCCAACTCCCTTCACCAGGGCAGGAAAACGTAATCAAAGCCTTCCTGACAAAGAGCCATCCAGCCATAGATATAGATAGACAGATATGACTCACACACAGATATAATATCATAGATTTGAAAGGGACCCCTAAAGAAGGACAATTATATGTTGCATATTCCAGAGTAGGCAAACCAGACACTCTCCACATCAACACTGACAAAGAAACAAGAAGATGATTCACACAGAGAGAGATATAGTATGATCGATTTGAAAGGAACCCCTAAAGCAGGGCAATTATATGTTGCATGTTCCAGAGTGGGCAAACCAGACAATCTTTGCATCAACACCGACAAAGAAACAGCAAGAAATACTGTTTACCCACAAGCATGAAGAAATATTAGGGCTGGGCGGTTTCGTTTCGTAATTTCGTAATTCGTTAAAAATTCGTTAATTTTTTATAACGAAGCGATTTTGAATCATTCAGGAGCATCTAAAAACGAAACGAATTTTTCAATTCGTTTCGTAATTGCTTCGTATTCGTTTCGTATTCGTTTCAAAATCGTTTCGAAATCGTTTCGTTATTATTTCTGCATGTCTGGGGCAAGTTTTATAGCTGTTGTTTGTTTAATCAGTGAAAAAAAATTATAAATATCACACCAACAGTCAACAACAGAGGGAGAGGGAAGCTTCAAAAGTTCCCCCTGTCCCATATGGAGGTTTTTTAGCATATTGCGCAGTCGCGTCCGCCATTAACGAATCGATTTGCATTCATTTCAAAATCGTTTCGTGATTGTTTCATAATTTACGAAATTTCGTAAATATCGAACTTTTTTAAAGAAAAATTTCGGAATTCTTTTAAATATCGAAACGCAAAAAAACCCAAAAAACGAATCGAGTTTAGAAACAAATTTTTCTGTGGTTGCCCAGCCCTAAGAAATATATATTAGAAACCAGCACTTTCTTATTACTTTATTTTCCAGATCACCAGACTGGGCTACAGCAATGCATGGCAGGGAATGTCTAGTAGATTCATAAAGTTAGATAACATAGACAATGATAAATTCCAGCCACTTTCCCAAAATAAAGTTTTGGAGTTTCACCAAGTCAATATAGAGCAGTCATTCCCAACCTGTTGTCCGTGGACCACCGGTGATCCTGAAGAACTAAAAATATGGACTGTGGCCTCACCATTACTACACTGTTGCAACGAGAACGATTGGTCTCTTGAAACCCTCTTATGGTGCCAAAGCTTATTAAATATGGTTTTTGGTGGGCAAGCAGATGGCAACTACTGGATGGCATATGTTCTGTATCAGAAACTAGAGCAGATGTAGTCTATCCAATGCTATTTTCTGAATCAGCACCCCAAATAACCAAACCGAATCTAAAGTCGACCAAAAACTGATTTGTAACCCTTTTGGTACTAATGTGGGAGAGTGGTCCCTGGTCAAAAAAAGGTTGGGAACCACTGATATAGAGAAACAACGGAGATATAGCTGTAAACATTTTACTGACTTTTTTTTCTTTTTTTCTTTTTATTACTTGGGAAATATCAGAAGATGTCTCAAAGACTATGGCATCTGAGAAAGCAGTTGCATATCTTCAAGGTATGTACGGGTCAGATGGGATGAAATGTAACAAAAAGAAAGGGTTGAAAATAAGGTATCATGGGATATTCTGGTAACATATGAGATCAGAGATTCCACAAAACAATGAAGATGGAGAATCCATTTTTATTGGTCAGGGTTGGTGCTAGGAGTTTGACAAGATCATACAAAGCAAAACAGTTATGAGGACAGAGGACTGGATGAAGTGAAACCACAGTCATAGGAAATAGCTTCCTGTCTAAACACTCAATAGTGTACACTGCAAGAGTTGAGGATATAGTGACCTAGAATAATAGAGTTGGAGAAGACCACATAGGCCAACTAGTTCAACCCTCTGTCATGCTGGAAAAGCTCAAGGTACCCCTGACAGATGGCCATCCAGGTCTTTGTTTTGTATGGTTGCCTTGTTGAAGTAGAGTCCATGGCATTTCATAGCACTGAAAGCTGGCAAACATCTCTAAAGATCCATGATTTACTATGAGGACCTCTTGCTGACTCTGGAACCTCCTGACCTTGACTTTGCTGCCTGTTCACCAACAGTGAACCCATCAATGGTTGAGCCCATACATGAAGTTTTTCTTGTGGATAGTGGTTCCCTATCACCACTCTCCACTAATAGATGGAAGATCTAGAGAAATATTGTGTTAGTAGACCTTCTCCCCAACTATAGACTTTCCATGGCTTGCTCCAAAGAAAAGGACAAGGATTGTGTAGGTTGTTCTGGAGGTCATTGCTGTCATTACTCACTCACCCATTGGCTGGTATCTCCTGAGCACCTCAGATCATCTCTATGGAAGACATTCTTGGTCTACATCAGAACATCTGTCCATAAGGATTTAGTCAGGTGCTTTTCTAACTTCTCCTCCATTCTCCACTAATAGTGGAAAGTGGAGAAGTCAGAGAAGCACCTAACGAAATCATCCCTATGGAAGACATCAGGACATCTGTCCATAAGGATTTAGCCAGGTGTTTTTCTGACTTCTCCTCCGCTCTCCACTAATAATGGAAAGTGGAGAAGTCAGAGAAGCACCTGACGAAATCATCCCTATGGAAGAAATTCTTGGTCTACATCAGGACATCTGTCCATAAGGATTTAGCCAGGTGCTTTTCTAACTTCTCCTCCATTCTCACTAATAGTGGAAAGTGGAGAAGTCAGAGAAGCACCTGATGAAATCATCCCTATGGAAGACATTCTTGGTCTAAATCAGGACATCTGTCCATAAGGATTTAGCCAGGTGCTTTTCTAACTTCTCCTCCATTCTCCACTAATAGTGGAAAGTGGAGAAGTCAGAGAAGCACCTAACGAAATCATCCCTATGGAAGACATCAGGACATCTGTCCATAAGGATTTAGCCAGGTGTTTTTCTGACTTCTCCTCCGCTCTCCACTAATAATGGAAAGGGGAGAAGTCAGAGAAGCACCTGACGAAATCATCCCTATGGAAGAAATTCTTGGTCTACATCAGGACATCTGTCCATAAGGATTTAGCCAGGTGCTTTTCTAACTTCTCCTCCATTCTCACTAATAGTGGAAAGTGGAGAAGTCAGAGAAGCACCTGATGAAATCATCCCTATGGAAGACATTCTTGGTCTAAATCAGGACATCTGTCCATAAGAATTTAGCCAGGTGCTTTTCTAACTTCTCCTCTATTCTCCACTAATGGTGGAAAGTGGAGAAGTCAGAGAAGCACCTGACGAAATCATCCCTATGGAAGACATTCTTGGTCTACATCAGGACATCTGTCCATAAGGATTTAGCCAGGTGCTTCTCTGACTTCTCCTCCACTTCTCATTATTAGTGGAGAATGGAGGAGAAGTCAGAGGAGCACCTGGCTAAATCCTTATGGACAGACATCCTGATGAAGACCAAGAATGTCTTCCATAGGGATGATCTGAGGAGATGCCAGCCAATGGGTGAGTGAGTAATGAGAGCAATGACCTCCAGAGCATCCTACATGATCCTTGTCCTCTTCCTCTGGGCAAACAATGGAAAGTCTATAGTTGTGGAGAAGGTCTACTAACACGATATTTCTCTAGATCTTCTCTATCAAAAAGATGGAGTCTGGCTTGCTCTTGGGTTCCAAAAAGAATGCAAAAGAAGTTAGAATGAAGCTGATTGACTTGCAAATATCTTTCAGACTATGCATATTCCCTCTTCTCTGCTCTTCCAGTGTTACGGCCAATCAACCAGACACGACTGAAATGGCATAAAGAAGGGATTCTCTACAACTTCCACTATGACAATGGAAATTTGGTGGTCCAGAAACCCGGCATCTATTTCATATTTTGCCAGTTGCAATTTTACTTTCCCGATTGTGGAAACACCACGGAAGACCTCAAGCTGAGCCTTAATGTGAACGGAAACACCATGAAGGACACCATTCTCACGTTGTGCAGTTCCCATAAGACGTCTGAAGGAATCAGCCATGACATCTCCTCGACACTTTTGGTAGAACTGAAGACAGGGGATCGGTTCGGAGTGGACGTTGACCCATTCAGCTACTTGGATGCAGACACTCTCCCCTCAAGCAATGTTTTGGGTGCTTTCAAGTACCTTGGTGAAGACTGGAAATGCCCTTTCCTTGGGACAATAACTGGACAATGCCTTTAATTAACATTATGAGGATCTAGCATTTAATTGACGAAGTCCTATTGATAGCGAGCTAGAATTTGGAGGCTCCTGCATAGGAGAGAGGAGCCCTTAGACCCACCAAAGAGAGTCCGAAACCCTTGGCAAGCGAAAGAGGAGAAAGGCCCAGAATTTTCCCTGATTTTTCCCAAATAAATCTCACCAAGGTTGAAGAAAAGCCATCAAGGTTTATTTAGCAATCCAGCTGAAAAAGATGCAAAGCTGCAATCATTCGCCAGCAGAGCATAAAGAAATACATTTGATACAGCCATATTTATAGTAAATTCAAAGTTGCAGAGTTCAAACTTCCCGCCCTGGCCTCCCTGCTGTCCTCCACTGGGCAAATGGGCAAACAGCTGGGAGGTGGCCCTCCCGCCCCCGGCGCCTTCAGACCAATCAGGAAGCTCCAGCGGTCTGTAGGATCCAATGGGGAAGCTCCTGTTGCCTAGCAGCAGCAGCAAATCAGGAGAGAGGAAGGCGGGATAATAGAACACAAAGGAATCTATGAATTAAGTCTGAAAAAATGCCATGTGGCCTGCGAGACAAAGGGGGAGTCTCAAGCAAGCCTGATCTATTGTGCTTTGATTGGAATGAATCAACATGTGTAAAGGAAAGTCTGGATTTTACTAGCCAGCAAACAGTACAATGAGGGCGAAACTGGGGTGAATGTTCCTTAGTGGGAAGTTAGTTAAATCAACCAGTGCGAAGGTGGGGGCTTTTCGAGGGTCCCCTGACCTCCAGGTAGAAAAATGATTAGGGGTCTGCCAGGGGGCAAACAGCATTGTTGGGCAATCCTCCGAGAACAAAGCTGCCTGCCAGTTTATTTTTCATGCAAAGGAAATTGTGGATTGGGGTCTTTGGAATGTCTGGAGCTCTGCAGTTTCCTGGGGGGATCTCTTCATAAGGAAAGGGAAGGGGGAAAAAAGGTCAAGGGGAAAGCCTCAGCCACAAGGAAAATCATGCATAAATGTGTGTGTCCTTGGAAGGGAATGAAAAAGGTCAAGGGAAGGCCACTAGCACAAAGGAAAATATATATAGGGTTGATGTTGCAGGAACCATATGCTTATAATTCATAACAGGAAGACCTAGAGCAGTGGTTCTCAGCCTTCCTAATGCCGCGACCCCTTAATACAGTTCCTCATGTTGTGGTGACCCCCAACCATAACCCTAACATTATGAATCGCCATATAAATAATGATCTGCAGGATGTACTTTCATTCACTGGAGCAAATTTGACACAAATATCCGGTATGCCCAAATTTGAATACTGGTGTGGTTGGCGGGGGGATTGATTTTGCCATTTGGGAGTTGTAGTTGCTGGGATTTATAGTTAACATGTAAACAAAGAGCATTCTGAACCCCACCAACAATGGAATTGGACCAAAGTTGGCACAGAGAATTCTGATGATCAACAGAAAATACTGGAAGGGTTTGGTGGGCATTGACCTTGAGTTTGGAAGTTGTAGTTCGCCTACATCCAGAGAGCACTGTGGGCTCAAACAATGATGGATCTGGACCAAACTTGGCACGGATACTCAATATGCCCAAATGTGAACACTGATGGGGTTTGGGGAAAATAGACTTTGACATTTGGGAGTTTTAGATACTGGGATTTATAGTTCACCTACAATCAAGGTGCATTCTGAATCCCGCCAATGATAGAATTGGGCCAAACTTCCCACACAGAACCCCCATGACCAACAGAAAATACTGTGTTTTCTGATGGTCTTTGGCGACCCCTCTGACACCCCTTTGCGACCCCGTCAGGGGTCCCAACCCCCAGGTTGAGAAACACTGACCTAGAGCCAATCAATGGCCAACTGGAGCAATAAAGGTGGACAAGGTGCTTGCCTATGTTTAACTGTGCTCAAGGACAACATGGGAGCATGCTTCATTGTGTTAAAATGTCTGTGTGTTTGTGAATCCGGTGCTGTTTACATTTGTTTGCTTTTTTTAGAACTGGAACTCTCATGCAATTGGCAAAACCAATCAGCATGCGGTGTGTATCCATCCCCAAGGGTGGTAGGCAACCGAGAGTCTACTATACTACCAAATAGGACTTCTGTATGGAAAGTTATGGGAGTTTGAGCTCTTTAAAAAGTAGGTGACTTAATTGGAGACTCTCGGGTGTGAAGTTAGACTCAACACTCTGTCTACATGAGTCATCCAATACTTTCACTTTGGCACCAACAGCGTCTTGCTTTGTTTGCAAATAGCGCTGCTGCCTTTGGCTGAGTCTGACTGGCAACTTCCTCTCGAGAAGAGATTCTGTCTTCAGGCTAATAAGCGGTTTCATCATAACAGGACCTGTGGAACAGAAATTGAGAAAGGGAAACAGGTGGTTCCAGTGCCAAAACAAGTTGGCTGACGTAAGCACATATTTAAGCATGCCAAGGAATTCAGCAGAGTGAGCATGTGTGTATAATAATATGGACAAACATGCCACCTTTCTCCCAGGGGGGATCAAAGGTGGATTTAGTAATTTAAAGCAAAAGTAAGTTAAAATCTTTGTTGTTTATAATCTACATACCCTCTCACACTGGAAATTGCAATAAAAGAACCCGTGCTGGTACATCTGTACCAGGAGATCCAACTTCATATTCTTTCTATTAAATGTCTGCATGCATTCCAAGGTCTCAGGCATTCTGCAAAGGTGACTTCCCTTGGTTTGCATTTATAGGGCCAAAGACCCATCAATCATTGTTAGGTTTTGGTTCCGCCCCTTTCCCCAGGGCCCTGGGAGGAGAGGGAGCCATTTTTAGTTCAGTCTCACAGAAGGAAATTAAGCTACAGGACGTGGACCAGCTCCACCTCCAGAAAAGCTTCATTTCTTACAGCTTCAGGGGAGACAGCTTCGGGGGAAACAGTTTCAGGGGAAACAGTTTTACAGACCCAAAGAACTCCAGTTGGAGAATCTACAAAGCCTTGACTGGTAGGTCTACTCGGGACCCAAGACGTAGTTTGGAACCGGTAGTAGGACCCACATCAGCAAAGTCTAGATAGTAGATTGCCTGGGAGAGGTTAAAAAAGGGTTTTCCTTTCAAAAGAAAAGAAACAGTTCTCAAAACCAGTTGTCTGTCCCTTGTGGACAAGATAAAGCCAGCCACCAGTCATTTGTATGATTGTTGTTGAAGATTGAAAAAGTATTTGTTTAATTTGTTCAATAATAAAGGACTTTGTTAAACCTTTAAAGCCTCTAAAGACTCTTCCAGAGGAAAATCCTTAGAGCCTCTCTATCAAGGCACCCTGGCTTCCCGCTGGGCACAAAGTGCACGTCCTGTTCAAAAGACAATTATTACAAGCCCAGCGCATGATAGCACAGAACCTATGCTTTAAATTTATTGAAAAGTCATTCATGGCAGCTGAGAGTCATGCACTGGGTGGCTTTCATAGTGTTCAACCTTATTTCTCTCCCAGTTAGCAGAAACTTTGCCGTCACACATCGGGGGAGAGGGCAATACCAACTAACTGATAGAGTTTATCAACAGGTGTAGGTCTGAGACATCCTGTGATTATTTTGCATCTTTCGTTCAGTGCTATAGTCAGTTCCTCTAAACCTGAAAGAACTTGGAGAAGCTATTAAGCAATCTAAAATTGGTAAAGCACCTGGCCTAGATGGCCTTCTGTGTTTAATGCAGTTACCTTCCTGGCCTCAGACCTGTTCCAGACATGTCAATCTAATCATCCACACACAAGCCCAGGATTTTGTTTCGGGGGGAGCTGAGTTTGATTCGGGGCGGGCTGAGTCTGAGTGAAAGAGGGTCTACCCTGAGTGAAAGAGGGTCTACCCTGAGTGAAAGAGGGTCTACCCTGGCAAACCTTTTGTATCGTTACCCCAATACCCCATGCATATGGGATATATTGAGTATGGTGATCAGATTGATATGAATAAACATAACAGTTTAAATAATACACTAAGGCCTTCTCTCGGACCACCATGAGAATTTCGGGGGGGGGGGTGAAGCCCCCCAAGCCCCCCCACTCCCGGCTACATGCCTGCACACAGTTCTCCCAAACTGATTCCAAACCAACCTAAGTGTTCAGTGTAGATGTCTCCTAGAATCATAGAGTTGGAAGAGACCTCATGGGCCATCCAGTCCAACCCCCTGCCAAGAAGCAGAAAAATTGCATTCAAAGCACTCCCGACAGATGGCCATCCAGCCTCTGTTTATAAGCTTCCAAAGAAGAAGCCTCCACCACACTCCAGGGCAGAGAGTTCCACTGCTGAACAGCTCTCATGGTCAGGAAGTTCTTCCTCATGTCCAGGTGGAATCTCCTTTCTTGTAGTTGGAAGCCATTGTTCCATTGCGTCCTATTCTCCAGGGCAGCAGAAAACAAGCTTGCTCCCTCCTCCCTATGACTTCCTCTCATGTATTTATACATGGCTATCATGTCTCCTTTCAGCCTTCTCTTCTTCGAGCTAAACATGCCCGGCTCTTTAAGCCACTCCTCATAGGGCTTTTTCTCAAGACGCTTGATCATTTTAGTCACCCTCCTCTGGACACATTCCAGCTTGTCAACATCTCTCTTCAATGGTGGTGCCCAAAATTGGATACAATATTCTAGGTGTGGTCTAACCAAAGCAGAATAGAGCATGGGGAGCATGACTTCCCCAGATCTAGACACTAGACTCCTCTTGATGCAGGCCAAAATCCCATTGGCTTTTTTACCCGCTGCATCACATTGTCAGCTCATGTTTAACTTGTTGTCCATGAGGACTCCAAGATTTTTTTCACACGTACTGCTCTCAAGCCAGGCATTGTCCCCCATTCTGTAGCTTTGCATTTCGTTTTTCCTGCCTAAGTGGAATATCTTGCATTTGTCACTTCTTATGTTATCTTCTTATGAATAACGGTGTGGCTGTGTCACATCCCCAAAAGAAACAATTATTTCCTGCCGCTGATATCTTAAGATGGAGCAACACCATGTCTTGCATCGTTTCTGAGCATAGCAGATCCCAGAGCCAAAAAGCCAATGGAAAAATGAAGGGTTAGATGAAAGCTGTGAAATGATGGATTCTTGGCTAGTGCAAATCATCATAACTATTAATAGCTTAGGAGTCACATTTAGATAATACAGGCATGCTCCTAATTTCCTGAGAAATGAATAAGACAAAGGAAATAACTAGAAAAGGTTACAATGCAATTACAATGAAATTAGGAGCATGCCTGTATTATCTAAATGTGACTCCTAAGCTATTAATAGTTACAATGCTTCTTAACCTCTAAAGCAGTGTTTCTCAGCCTTCCTAATGCCGCAATCCCTTAATACAGTTCCTCATGTTGTGGTGACCCACAACCATAACATTATTTTCATTGCTACTTCATCACTGTCATTTTGCAGCTGTTATGAATCATAATGTAAATATCTGATATGCAGGATGTATTTTCATTCACTGCACCAAATTTTGCACAAAAACCTGATACGCCCAAATTTCAATACTAGTGGGGTTCAATACAAACATGCATTCAAACAGATACCGGCAAACATTCAATGCCTATATATCCACTAGGCCTGTGCGGTTTCGTTCGTTAATTTCGTAATTCGTTATTAATTCGTTAATTTTTGCATTTACGAAGCGATATCAAAACACATTTTCAAACCCGGAAGGGTTTAAAAATATCGAACCGGCAACCCCCATAGATTTAACGAGCTTCCGCTCGTTTCGTTAATGGGATGGAGGCTGCTGGTGCCTGGGAGCCAATCCGGCGCTCCCAAGCACCCAAGCAGTGCACCGTGGCTGTTTTTGATTGGCCAGCGAGCCCTTTAAAAGCGGCTCCGCGCGGCCGTACAGCTGAGCTCATTGCTGCAGAGGGCGAGGGAGAGAGAAGAGGTCCGGGAGGGTTTGCATTGGGTTGGCTTGGCTTGGCTAGCAACTGGATTGGATTCATTCCTTGCTCATTCCTTGGATTCATTCCTTGCTGCTGTGCTTAGTGCTGCTTATATTCCTTGCTTGGATTCATTACTTCGGTTTTTGTGAATTTGTTTCTTAATTTTCCATTTTTAAATATTTT